AAGTCGAAAGACAGCAGTCTGTTTTCTTCTGTTAATAAAGTGCTGTCTGCACTGCTGGCCTCTTGTTTGAGACGAATTCAGTTTTTCTTTTCAACTGCTGAAATTGAGTGATTTTCAGACTCTGCAATTTTGCTGTTCATAACACACCTATTTCAGCTTTCACAATATATAGTTTTCCTTACAAAAAGTGGTGTTCCACAACAACCCGACGGAAGAGGCAGCTGCAGCTTCGTGCAAACTGATCCAGAGAAAGACTCGGTGTGGTGCAAAACCTCCCCAACGCTCCTCCGGTTCCAGTCTTTAAATTTTAACTGGAGAAAGTCCAAGTTATCGTGTCCTTTCTTAATTATCCATTCAACAACATAAACATGGTGGTTTACACGTAGGTCTCCATGAAACTGCAACACCTCGTACACTTCAGTTGTACAGATGAAACAAACAGCGCATTAAGAACAAACTCGTTGTGCCTCTTACTTCACAATAAATGGACAAAGTTGCATCACAAGAAACCACATACACGTATCTGAACTATTTCTCTGAGCACTTCCTAAAAATCAGTGGAACACCTCCAGTATTTCCTAGAACGACTTTTTATTCCACAAAGCTGCTGCTGCTGCTTTCCACTGATTTCTGTATGTGAAAGGGAGCAATTGCAATCAGCGAGTTCTTCGTCAGCAAAAAGGCTCACCCCATGTCTTAATGTTAAGATGGATTTTTCCTCACAGCATCCTATTCGGGCTTTTTCTCCATTGTTGTGGGTGCATTCCTTATTCTGTGTTTGCTGTGGCAAACCCGGCTTCTGCAGTTGTTTTTTTTTTTTTCGATCACAAACTTTTCCTGCGGCTGAACTCCTCTGCAGTTTGCCGGACATATCTGATGCACACTTCACGTGCTGCATTTAGGCAGTCATTTGCAGGAGTAGATCGTGTAAAGAAAGAAAATATGAGCATACAAATTTGCATTTTGCATAAGCTACAGCTCTTTCTCTCTCCGACACTGTGCTGAGGTGCTTCAGCCTGGATTTTTGTTTTAAATGAGGCGAGGGAAAAAAAAAAACTTTTGACTGGAATCGACAAGAGGGTCGATGGAGCGTTAATTATAGACCATTTCAGTCCAAACAGCCAACTGCAGAGTTGTTATATGTTAAGGATAATTGGCCTAAAAGGCTGATAGGAGGCGTGTTTATGGATTTCAGGGCTATCTGGATCAAAGCTGCATTTGTTGTTACCATTTAACTATTTAACATTAATGATTGTGAAGAAGAGAGTCAATGGAGAGGAGAGGAGATCTATACTGACCAGACTGATGCACAGATAGTTCCTAAATGCTGGGCAGGTTTAGCATCGTGTTCAACTTAGCAATGCTCATGTAATTCAAAAGTATGAATATTATAACAAATTCTAAGATCTTATTTGAATACCCAATGAAATAATGATTTTTGATTTTTTTAATCACACAAATCAAAGAATAATCTCATATTAAAATAAAATGTGAAAAAATGAGGCCTTGAAAACTGATAATTATCAACACATGACCATTAACCAACAATTTAAGCCATGTCAGCATGTTAAAACGCAATAACAGATCTAAAAACCCGCTGCAACCTTATCAAAGCTGTACAGTAAGACAGCATTCAGCGCAGGTACAACAGCTCAGTATTCAAGGATTCCATCAATGTGATAACAGGACTAATAGACGTCGCTGAGTGGATATGAAATCCCATGAAAGCTTATCGTAGCTCTTTACCGCTAACAGGGTTAAATTTGCCCTTCAGAAGGAAACTCATGTTGCTTTCTAAATCAAAACAGTTTATCCGCTGCATGGCGGCCGCTTTAGCGTCTTTGCAGGGAGTTTCTTTGACTGTCTTCAACCTGGAGGTTGGTCCGAAACAGGTCGATAAAACACAAATACGCCATCCAAAGATATAGTTTCCAGAGAGAAAAAAAAAAAAAAAAGAGAGAGAGACACCTCGTCCAAAAGTGACCCAAGGACAGTCAGACTATGTCCAAACAGATTAGAGGATAATTAATTATAATTAAACCGATCCAAAACGCAGTGAGCCCAAACAGAGATGAACACCGTCACCGCAGCAGCATGATGTGGCACCAATTAACACCCAATTACATCTGAACAGCAGCAGAGACGCACGTCTACTTCCCCCCGCCATTCACAGCTCCTGGTCTTTGCTTTGCATCAATACAAATCTAATTTTTCTCCCGCGATGATGCATGCCGTGATCAGAGCAGAGTCTTGAGTCTGCCTGGATGCACTTGAGTTATTGACACACGGATACGGAGACAACAGGGACCCGAACTGCCCCACATAGAATTCAGATACAGGACCAGAGGCAGGTCGGTTTCTGATACGAGGAACTGAGCAGAACTGTGAAAACTAGGATCTGGTTTAAGCTTTACTTTGTTATGTACTATATGCAGGCTTAGGCTTAATGCTTTGAGCTGAGCAAAGTCAGAGAGTCTATTCACTGGGTAGCGAGAATGTGCGGTAATGCGTCCGGTGCTTGTTCGGGTATTTTGTGGAGCGTTCATATTTTTCAAGCACTAAGCACATTTTCAACAGTCTCGAGAGGAAAGCTTTGCATGATAGAAGTGCCACCATCTGCCTGAAGTTGAGATATTTCACTTTGGACCAAGCTGACAGACAACTGTATCCATAGGGGGGATGCCAAACACACAGACTCACCATGACTTTAAATCTAAATTAGCATCCATTGGGTTATAGGGGGTCTGAGTAATGAGGTTGATAATCTGGGTTCTAATGCACGATGTGAATCTAGGTCAGCTCTCGTCTGGGCGAGTTAACTTTGTTCAATACATCACAGACGTTCCAGCAACGTAAGCGATCCTGTTGATGAAAAAAGAAAAGTACAAACCATAACAAATATGCAAATATCTTAGCAATTAGCTGAGGTTTGTTCCCTGCTATCTGTGCATGTTGGGGGATTATTAGCATTTTTCTTTTCATGGCAAGGTCGGATCACAAACTCAGATAAGGACCTTTTAGCGGAGGCTGCCTCTCCTACGCTGGCTCGTGCTGGCGGCTCATTCTGCCGAAAGCGTAAGAGGGGAGATGCTGAAAGCTATTTTCTAATTCAAACCATCTGCTGTTTGTGGATCGCTGGCTAACCGGGAGACTGGTGAGACTGGTCCCAGTGTCCAGCCGGAGACGCTGCCAGAGCTCTCCCCGGGTCTCTCAGTGCAATCGACATCAATTACAACACAGCCTCGCCTCGTTTTCCCAGCCATTAGAATATGTTCCCACGCTATGCACGCAATCAAACAGATGAAATAAGACATCGAGTCCAGCGCACGGCATGATTGCACGCAGCATATCTTGAATAATCACTGACCCAATCAGCCACGGCTTCGACAAGGTGGTTAATCACAGACTGCCTGTTGCTGCAATCCATTACAACATCAACTTTTTTATCTTTTTAAATGAACCTGGTAATTGATGCAACACTGGCTGCAGGTGCTCAGTGGAGCCATCTGGGTTACAGGACCGTGAAAGCAGCACAAAGGCAAGCAAAAGTGTTAAATAGGTCACAACACCAGCATCCTCTCCAGCACTCGCACAGCCAGTTTTCCCCACTGGACTGGCCTCCTGTTTCCCATGCTATCCGGCTGCTGCTGCTCCTCCACCGCGAGAGCCTGGAAACTGTAGGCAGAGCAGCTCCGAGTGGGAGTGTGTGTGTGTGTGTATCAAGTAAAAAGTAAGGTTGTGTATCCCGTATGGCCTCCAGCCCTGAATCTTGGACAGCTTCACCTCGCCAGAGTTGGCCAAGCTGCTCTGCCTTCATTCATACAGAGCCAGTGGCGGACTGAGCCAAGCACTCTACAAAATAAAACCACACACACACACAACATACACACACACACACACACACACAAAACACCACCACCACTCTGCTTTAGATGAATCTCAACACCTAAAGCTGCTGTTTTGGGATTTAAGCTGCTGGTGCTTCTGCCAGTATCTTTGAATAGTTAAGGGAGAAAAAAAAGCTCTGTTTCCCACCAACATTACTGGATGTTTGTTGGGGCTGAACACTAATGAACAGCGATGAGGCTATAAAACTAATATCAAGCCACACCTGAATTAATAAAAGACTGTTTTAATGAGATAACTTTGTTCGCAGGTTAATCCTCGCAGGTTTTTGTTGCGTAGCTGCATCCAAGCCAGAAAAACAGAACACACAGAACCACAAAGGCAGCAACTGATGACTAAAAGAAACTCTCCTGCAACACTCACACAGTCACCCTGATATTCTCCGTCTCTTCTTCCCTCCGTGTAGGCAACTTCTACTCTATCAATTCCGCCTCTGCTTAAAGCTGACGGCGCTGGAGGAAGGAGGAACAAGTTGTGCCAAACAGTACAGAGCAGAGGGAAGCCAGCAAAGCAAATCATAGTACAGCAATCTCCTGACACCTGAGACAGCAGCAAACCTCAACAGCACCAACACTGTGTCAGTAGTTCATCACTGTCACCTGTCCAACTTTTGACATTTGTGTTTTCTTGGAGGCTTTAAACGCTCCAACCACTGGCTGTGCGTCCTCCAGCTCCTCACAACCCAACACACCCTTATGTCCATTAACCACCACTTGTTGGGATCTCACACACACACACACACACACACACACACACACACACAGTGGATATCATTTGAAACAATCGAAGTGCTGCACATATCCGAGGCAGACAGCGCGCTCAAGTGTGTCCACGCAGAGGCTGGGCATCTGCTGCCTGGGACAAATTAAATGTGGAGTAATTATGAGCAGAGGCTCCCCGGAGTGCTCCGTCTCAGCATCCCCGCCAATACTGTGACACCAAAAGGTGTGGCGCTGCGTGGCTCTGCTCACACCAACTAATGAAACAAAAGGGGCGAGCGTGCGTGCGTGTGCGTGCGTGCGCAGCCATGAGAATAAAGACAAAGACGTTTGTGAACTTGCGACTAATGAAGAAAAGCAGTGTGCGTGCGTTACCTCGAAAAAGGAAGGCTTTGCTGCTGTTGTGGAGCCCCGCCACTTGGGTAATTCCATAGGTGGCATTTTCCAGGTCAAGTTCATTGATGATATCAATCTGGTAGTCTTGATCTGATCCGAAAGCCAAAGCTGAAAGGGGGGAGAGAAATGAAGGTTAGAGGACGTGGAGCGGCGGGTTCACAACCTGCTGAGAGGCTTCAACTACAAGCCTCATTCATTTAACGCAGAGATATAGTCTGTGCTCATGTGCATTCCACTGCTTAAGATGGCTGGGTGTGGGAAAAGTCATGCAGTTTTCATTTACACGCAGGGAACTGCTCAAGCTGCCCACTGAAATGCGCCGAATCTGCCCGCAGCCATCACCTGTGTTCTCCACGGTGTAGGTGAGCTGCACTTTAAGGTGAAACATGTCATGTCTTTATTCTTATCTTCCTCCTACCTGCTTTCAAACACTAACTCTAAAAACTGCAGCTGATAAAAAACACAAAAAAACCCCAAAATGCTGCAGCCCGAAGACTCAACCAAAAATCTTCTATGTTTGCGCGCAAGGTGCAAACCGAGGAGCGTCAAGAAGCTCCTGTCACTCACAACAACAAAAATCACTCACTGCAGCCACACAGTGCAATCACACGGCTCGTACTTACATGGTTTGGTAAAAAAGAAAAAGGAGAGGAGAGTCACGTAAATATCCATTTGTGTTGGAGTTGCGCTGTACAGAGTCCGTGAGTCGTGCGCTCTGCTGTGTATCCACACTAACCCGCTCCGGTCCGTCTGGCGCTGTGCGCTGCTCTCACCTCGCCTGGATGTGGAGGAACGGAGGAATGGTCCACAGCACAGGAGCAGGGGTTCCCTCACTGCGAAACCGCATCAGATTATGGTGTTTGAACGCATCTAATCATCCTCTGCGTGGCATCAAACGCGCCGCACGTCTGCGTTTATTCAGCGCAGGTGTGATGCTGGACTGCAGGGGAGGAATCTGAGGATATTCTCAACAATCCATTTGCAAAGTTCCCCCTCGCTCAGACCACAGAAACTTCCAGTTTTGGAGGTGAGAAAATGGAATTCAAAGGAAAGTCGGTGAGTGGAGGATGTGGGAATTCTCTGTAATAGATCGGCAGTCTGTTCTTACGTGTCTCAACAGGGACTAATCAAAGAATTTCCTCTCTGCTGGGGTGCATTAACAAGTCTGCAGCTCGTTAAGTGTAGCACGTTTTAATAAAGGTTTCAAGACACTATAGCTTGCAGAGCATGAGTTTGCTCTAAGTAGGGAATCTGTGCAATAGCACTTCACACAGCATCCCCCCCATCGGCTCCTAAACCGACCTCTCCTCCTCCCAGCCTCAGAAAATCCCTGGGTTTTACAAGCACTGCTGCTCCTCTTTCCTCAGGGGCCTGTCCTTATTGAGAACCATTAATCATGTCCCTCTGCTGCCTGCCTCTAATTTGTGTACATTGTCAGGTTGTCAGGTTGTGCGGGTTACCTGGATCAACACAAGCTGGTAATGGGGGGAGAAGTGACTGCGGCAGCGCCTCTTCCAACCTGTGCATGTGTAGTAATGTCTGCTTTGGGATGCAGGTCACTGTTTCACCCTCTAAAATTAGCCTGTAAACAGCAGCAGCGTGCATATCCACTGATCCAGAACCAAAAAACCTTGAAGGGTAAAAGAAAAAAACATATTTGAAATTACAGGTTGCAGAGAAGAGGGAGGGACGGATCACTGAAATTGTTTTTGGACTTGCAGTGGGGTTAAGAGGAAGCATAATTCCTGCCTTTCAGACTTTTTAATAAGTGGAAACGAAGCAGTCAAGCTGCTCAGTGTTGTCCAGTGCATTTACTTCTTTGCTTTCTCTTCTTCAACATCCAAATCATGTGTGGACTTCTATTCTGAGGCACAGCAGATGTACATAAAGGCTCCTGTTACCACGCACAGCCAAGGAAAAGAAGAAACAAGCAAACAGCTGAGTGCAATGAAAGCAGATTTTTATGATTTTTTTTTTCCCTCTCTGTGCTTCATCTTTGTAAATAATACCATGCTGGTGTTTCACCCACCGGTAATGCCCGACCAAACCGTGATCTGCACACATTTGGATGTGAATGCTAAAACGGGGCTGAGTTTGTCTGCAAAGAGAAAGTTTTTGTGATCTTTGACTGTATTTTTAAATGCTGTGGAACCTGTTTTGCAGTAATGTTAACATTTCTTGTTGCATCCAGCTCCTTCAGGTAACTGACGGGGTTTTCTCTCCTCATTTGAACCCATCTCATGATCATCCACAACCTGGTGGTCGACAAACTGTCTGATTTTTTGAGGATTTTTTTGTCCTGTTCAGTTGTGTCGCAACTTAACTTCACTGAGAAAGAGTTCTGTGCAGCTTCATACATGACAACCCTATTAAAAAATACCATGTGTGGTATAATTTGCAGGAACACTTCATATACAAACAAGAAAAAAAAGGAAAAATGTGACATTTTTGGAAAATTTTGAGCCTCTTAAGTGTGAAGAATACCATCCTATTGTTTGCATGCTAAACATAAAAGTTACCACCAGCACCTAACTTAGTTTAAAACAAAGAAACCTGAAGTCTCCCCTGGCTGCTAATAGTCCAGCACATAGTGAGCTGCAGAGGTGCTGCGAGGAAGATTTTATTACCTCTGTTCAGAGCCAGGTTAGTTGTTTCCCCCTGCAGCACTTCTAGTCTTTGTTCTCAGTTAAGTTTGCTGCCTACAGGAAGCAACTTGATGTTTAGGGTTCAATCATCCCATCGAAATCTATACAAAAGGAAGCACATAAGTATTTTCCATCATGTTTCTTTAAGGGAGACATCTGAATAAATAAGTGGAGACATACCACAACATATGCTTCTGTCTTAGAGAATAGTTTTTGACAAGTATGAAAATGACTCACACGGTTTGGCCTTCAGTAACCCGAGTTAAGCACAGACGGGAATGAAGTCTTTTCAACTGAAGTTGCAGCTTTCTTTGCATACAAAACACACGAGCTTACAAAATGCGATCTATTGTTGTAGATTTCAGCAGAAACTGTGTTAGGAGAGCAGGGAGGAGGATGCAAATGCAGACCGGAACCAGACGCTTGTGCAACGAAATACGATTTGATGCAATGGAACTGCAGGTTTATGGGTTTTCAGCAGTGCAGTGGTGGGTCAGTACTTAGCGGGGAAGATTGACATGTTAGCATGTGCTGAACACCAAACCTGCTTCAGATTAACATGCATCAAAACACTGCCAACTGACCCAACAGTTGTCTTGGAAAAATGGCATCACTTTTCTTAGATGAACCCGTGGATAATAAGACGGTGTCCCAGGAGGGGAAGAGTTTCTAGAGACCATCTAAACCCTTTGAAAAATGTGGATCAGAGTTTCCTTAAGTCTTGCTTTGTCCAAAGACCTTCAGTTTACTGTCACAGAGGAAAGAACCCAGAAAATATGAAGAGTTCATGTGCAAAAAACAGATAACTGCATCTTCACAAACCTTCAGAAAACCAACTTCTCCATCATCTACCTGAGACAACATCAATCAAACTTAAGTTATCTCTATTTTTGTCATTTCTACTGAGTCAAATCCACTCAGCTTCAGTTTGATTGATATCATCTCAAGCAAACAACAACAAAAAAATAAGTTTTCTGAAAATCTACAAAAATGGAGTTATCTGTTTTTGCAAATGAACTCTTCATGTTCACACAGAAGAAGCTGAAATCACAGAGTTTAGACTGATTGCAATAAAAATGACTCAAAATGATAATTCAATTGCTGGAATATTTGACAACTGATTAATTAGTTGACATCTAATCAATAAATTGATTCATCGTTATCCCTCTGAGCGGCTGTATGGGTCTCAATGCTGACTGGTTAAACTCACCAGAGCTGGATTTTGGTCCAGTCACTGTTGGTTCTGGTCTCTGTTGGTTCCACAGTGGAAAAACAAATACCGAAAGGTGAAAGTTGATTTGATTTCTCCTCACCGGTGAGCACAGATGTGACAGATCTCAGTGGAAGGAGCTCCAGCCTTCCTTGCTTCATCTTTTTTTGCTCTCAACTGCAAGATATTTTTAAAGCGGTTTAATTTTTCTACAGGCCTTTGTGTAGCGATGTAGTCCTAAAACAGAGACTGACAAAGCACCGGAGCCTTGTACTTGTTGACCTTACGGGATTTACAAGTAGCTGAGTGTACTTACCAGTTTGAATGATGGTATTATGTTTGTTCTTTACATGCTCCAAGACTGTTTAACATCGCCAAGGTTGCACCTGAAAGAAAAAGGGTAAAAGGAGCCGTGACAAAGGCTACATCCAAGCGACACGTTTAATGCAATAGTCAGATGTACTTGTTCCGTAACGATGGGGCAGTGATATCGATAAGCCTCTGAGTTCATGCGTTTAGAGAATCTGCATTTTTTTTCCAACTTTCCGACCATTCCAGTGCTTTATATTGACAAATATGTTTTGTTCTTCTTTAGAGAAATATACATCTTTACACATGTCTACGTTTGGTTATCTGGCAAACATGAATCCCCGTGTTGACTTTCCGAGTTGATAACCAGCTTGTGCGACATCTTCGAATGGCTGTGGCTGCAAGGTTTAGTGAAGCAACATAATGAAAAGAAAAAGATAACCTGATGAACTTGTAGCACCGGGCCCAAGCAGGCAGCAGTAGTTTATATATAATTGGTAGGGAGGCAGGCAAATTCACTAATTGTGGCAAAAATGGTCAGAAAGTAACTGGCCGAAACAAAATCAAAGCTCGAGAGCCGAGATGTGTTCTACGAAGCAGCTGGCTCAACAAAACCTCAAAACGGGTATAACAACAGTGGTTATCCACTTTCTTTGCTCAGCTCAGCTCATTTCATGTCATGCGAGTCTTCATCTGCAAAAAATACACGGACCGCACGCAGCCTACTTCAATCAGGAGGAGCTATAAATAATCCAACACTCGACTGCGTTAAAAAGTGCTGTTGGTAGAAAACGGGTTAATCGTCTAAGTTGGTGTATTCATTTACCTTCTTATTCATTAATGTGCTTATTTCTAAGGTGACAGCTGCACATTAGAGCACAGACGAACTTTAAACGTTTGATAAATGGGCTGCATTTACAGCACTCTCCCACCTTAGTGGTACTAAAAGCACTTTACAATGTGTTTCTCATTCACCTTTTCATGCACATTCACACACCGATGCTGACGGAGCTGCCGTGCGAGGTGATCGCCAGCCATCGGGAGCAACTTCAGGTTCAGCGTCTTGCTCGAGAACACTTCAGCATGTAGAAGGGTGAGGGATTAATTATAAGACACCTGCAAAAAAAAAAAAGCGGAGGTGCAATTAATGTTATCGATTACATGTTGAAAGCTTTATCTGTGGAAAATGCCAATAAATTATGCAATTTTCTAATCCGTGTTGTATGAACTGCAGTATCAGCAGTGGGAAAACTGACGTGGCAGCAAATCAGGAGCAAACATCAAAGCACATGTATGCATTTTTTTTTCCCATCACCAACTGCACACATGTGGGTTCCTGTGCAAATAAAATGTAGATGAAGATGCATCATATTCCCTCAGCTGAGAATATGTATCACTAGAGAGAATCAACAGGCAAAAAAAAGTGGTGGAAAGGTCATGCTTCTTTCAGCTGATTTAAACTCTGAGCAGAGCCAAGTTAGCTGAGCAGCATAAATTATCCCCGTAGC